GGAAGGCAGGGCAAGAGTGATGCGAGTCTTACACGGGCAACCCGACACGATGGCATTCCTGCAGCCCAACCCACTGAAAATCTGCGCTTCATTGTGCAACTCACGACACAGCACAGGCCGAGGACCTAGGAGGTGCCCTCATACATCGGAAGTGACGTCCAATGTGCGGCAACTAGAAAATGGGAAGGAAACCCATCCCTTGTTGTAGTTGCAACTGCAATTACACGGAAGCCTTCTCCAAACACTTTGGAAACCGACCATGCTTGAAACGCTACGAACTAATCCGGTCTTCTCGCGCACAGCAGCCGTGTAGTGGTTGAACTGCCGATTGTGGTGTAAGATGCTTTCCACCTCTTGGCAGTGGAACATCTGTCAAAGGGTTGATAGCAATCTCTGTATCCCTCGTCACATTTCCGAGCTGTCAGACCGCTGTAGGCCCTTTGCCGTCTGCGTGCTGCCAGTGGAGGAAGAAAGGTGCTTCACCTGGAATGCTCGTACCGTGAAACAGCAGCATACAGCAGAGATCCCGAAGCCTAACTAGTTGGACGAAGCTGCATAGTGCGGCGAGCTCAGCAGCGAAAGGATGCCATTCACCACCTGACACAGCTGTCAGAATCTAGGGCCGATGCGATCATGCAGCGACGGCAAACGGGACTAACGGGACTGCCCTTCAGGGACAGAGCTGGTCCAGTCGTCGCCTGAACCGAGGAACGCCAAAGCTTTGTCAGCATCTCAAGGAACTGGTCCAGCGAAGGATCGAACACCTCCAAACCATGTGTGAATTAGTTTTGCTGAGATCCTGGGCCTAGCACCTAGCACGAACTATCTCTCATGAAGCTCAAGCAACCCGAAGCTGGAATAGACAGATGGTGAAAATCCCAGCGGCAGCCAGTAGGGACCTTCTACCAAACTTAGTAAGCCGTGCTGCCAACATATCACAACCCTCACGTGCCATAGTCTTCTCGCCATACGCCACGGAAATGGAAAACATCTTCGTCGAGCTGTCAACCTCATCACGGAGCTGGTCTGCTTATTGAGAAACCGTTTATCTACATTTTTACAGATCCAGAAAGATCTGTTATCTGTGCATCTACACATAGGTGCTTTTACATGTTAGTACAGTTCGATAATCATATCTGTATCTGTATATACATCGATATCCATATGATGTGTAGCTGTACATATTATATATATATATACATAAAACTTTACACACATGCATGTGCATGTATGTGTACACATATAGACACACACACAAACACTTTATTTAGACCAATCACTGCATCATGACCGCTTGGCTTCCCAGTTTCGCCCGTGGCTCCTCACCCTCACCCTCGCGTACAAGGGAAATCATCACCGCATGGAGCTAGCAAGGCTGTCAAGCAGAACCCTAAATCGTAAGCTGTCCAAACTCGCTTGGCTTGTGTTTCCTCCGGCGTGCCGGCCCAAGTGTTGCCAAACCGCATAGCAGGGTTACTTGTTGGATTGCTTCCAGCTGTCGTTGGCGCTGTTGTTACGGATGTCCGGAAACATACATACCGATCGAATATCCTCTATATAACAGTGATTCAATACCCATGTTGAAGGAACAAGGCAAACGTCTGTAAGTGTGTGTGTGTGTGTGCGCGCACGTGCGCAGATGTACATCGTGCGTGTATGTATATAAACGTAATAAATATGCGCGCTGACTGACTGACTGATTAACTGATCGACTGACTGACTGACTTACCGACTGACTGACTGGCTGATTCATTGACGTGATTGACTGATTGCTTCAACTGGGCGAATCAATAAGTGAGCGAATGAGCTGGCTGACTGAGTGAGTGACAGAATGAGTGGCTGAGTGAGTGCATGATTGGCTCGTTGATTTTTATATCTTTATATGTATACCCAAACTTATATTCCTATAGACCTGTGATCGCCTTCAGTGTGTGTATACACATACATACATACATAAATACAATATAATATATCTGTATATATCAGTCATTGCACTGTCCACCATTCGAAACTCGCTGAACAGCCCCGATCGCACGCACACTCTTCTTCGTGCAGCCGCAACGTGGGAGTTGGCCACAGATCAAAATTGCAACATTTGGGATCTTCATACATCCGACCGGGCTCTCCGATCATTGGAGGAGCGCACTAAATCATGCGATCGAAAAATCAAAAAACACATTCCCGCGCTCTAAAGCGAGCTAAGCATCGACTGCGGGATGGGAAAACATCGCGACAGAAAGGGCAGATCCCCACTCGCCGATCGCATTGGGTACAAAGGGGAATGGACTGCCCCTGTGCCCAAATCTCCGGGGGCATTCGATCGGATGCGACGCACATGCCCTGATCGAGCAAACCATCGCAACAGCAGCCCGTGTAAAACCTGCAACCCACACACCGGCGGCACACATCACCGCGTCACTGCCGGGTTATGGGAGTGGAGACCACTGGCCCATTCGTCACCTGTCTGCTTGCTGCAGTGATAGGCGCAGAGGCCTGCCCATCATCATCGTGGATGAGATGATTACTCCATATGTCTGTATCATTGTATCATCCACTGGAAAGTGGAAGGCTTGGTGGTGGCCAGTACAGGGATTCTCCGCAGGGTTCGCATCTGTTGGGGCTCGATCGATATAAACCGAACACCTCAACTCGAGGACCAAGTCCCAGAAAATTCCTACCAAACATCTTCCTTAGCGGAATACACCTTGATCAGGGCCGCTGCGACCGATTCGGAGTCGACAAGAGCGAGCTTTGCCCCTTGGATCGCAACCACAGCTGCAAGCAGCCCAATCATACAGTCTGAGTCTTGCTAGGGAACCACCGCTGCATCACCTGAAACGGCACTCCAGACGAGAACTGTCTCGCAGCGTCGTCAGGCATGAACGTGAAACCAATGCTCATCTCAGCAGCCGGATCTTTGGGATGCGAACCTGGGGCCGAACCATCAGGGAAGATCACGACTTCCCACTTCCTGGGTCCCGAGCTGGGTATTGGCCTCGGGGCCCGAACATCACCACCCGTTCGCCACTTGTAGAGCGCAAAGAGCAAAGAGACGACTTCCCCGAGCATTGCTGATCGTACAAAGCCCTGCGGAAGGCACGGCCGATCTTCCCCCACCAAAGTTGCGAAGCACCGAACATCAGTTTTCCGAATCCTCGCAACTTACCAGCCTGACTCGGCGACAGCTCCTCTTCCTCGAGGATCGACGAGATCTCGTCAAACAGCTCTTGCTTCGGCCACTTCTGATTTTTGAAGAAGCGCTGGTCCAGATCGTAGGTCACCCCGAAGATGGTGGGATCGGAGCAAAGCTGGAGCTTCTGTTGATCAAACCGCGCCCAAAGCCTGACTTCCGACTCGAACCTGTACTTATCGTCGCAGAAGCTGAAGGCGGCAACGCTGAACCCTCGTCGCGAGGATGTCAGTGATCGCCGTGGGAATTGTAGACAGCCGACACCAGCCCGAACGAGTGGCCGACCATCACGAAGAACGCCACCTTCGCGCTTGAAAGATCTTTCAGAGCTACCACACTCCATTTGCGACGGCCCTCCGCTCATCGAGAACCAAGCCCTTTAGCGCGTGATCAGGCAACTGAGACAGCAGCCACTTGATAGCTGTGACATTGGCATCGGTCGACGGCAGCTCGAATTTTTCCTTCTCCCTGACCACGGTCGCCACGTTCATCCCATTGGAAGTCTGACCTCGTTCTTCTGAACGAACTCGAACATGGTTCTGGCCCCCCACGAGCTTGGACAGTGTAGAGCAGGCCGAGCGCCGCACCTCACTGTGACTTCCCCCAACCTTCGGCGAGTGCTGAGTAAGCGGAGCGGACCGAACTGCTCTGAGAAGCTTCTCTCGAAAGTCCCAAGCCCTCGAACGAAGTTGCATGGACAAGAACTGCACCCAACCATGAGAGCTAGCGATGTCACCCCATGATCGGCACGCCGGACATGACCTGGTGCAAAAGATCTGCATGTCGGCAATCTGCAGCATCAAGGAGCTCCCGCCGCCAAGCAACACGGAAGGACGAGCTGATGTAGACGTTGTTCCGCTGGTAGAAGACGCAATACATGACTTGACCTGCACATCTCAGCCGTCAAGAAACCGTAGCCCATGCCCTCGACGGAGGCCCACAATGCAGAGCGGCGGCGTGGGTTTTATCTGTGCCGCTTGCACTTCCGGCTGGGTCGATCCTCTTGGTGATCGCCAGGCCCGTCTCCTCCTCGCCTGGGGCGAACTCGGTGTCACGAGCTTGAGGGACCTCAATGAAGGCCGCCGGGGTGATCCCCACTCATGTGCGACAGAACCTCATGTTCGTCATGGCTCGGCAAGCATGATCTAACTCGGGGATCTCGCCCTCCGGGACCACCTCGATCTCCGACGCCCGCTGATTGAACGTCTTGCGCTGAGGAACCCCCGTGTCGGCAATTGCCTGCGAAGACGAGCTGCCCAGTTGTGCGACGGCTTGGCGGGCGGATCCTGCATAAGAGCCCAAGACCATGATCGAGCCAACGACATGGCTGAGCAAACAAGCCAGCTGACCCAAAGTTTCCATAAGCTCTCGAACCATAGCCACAGTGTTCCCATCACATCCAGGACGTCATAGAATTTGCAGGCCCGTCCTGATGTGACCTGTGCGTGCGGGTCGTGGCCTCCCTCAGGGCCGTGCGGGATGATGTGCCAATCGCCAATGCACCTGTCCTCATCCATCCAAAACTGCGCTTCCCTCCCATTGTAGTGACTACTGTGGTGTTGAAGGAGCAGACATCATAGTTGCGCGGCCTTCCACACGAGTGGGCCGCTGCAAAATATTCATAATATCCCGCTAAAGGGACGAGCCAAGAAAGCCCTCCGGGAGCATGGCCATGCCATCGTGGGGGAGGATCGCCCACTCGTCGTCCGGGGGTTTGGGCTCCTCCACTTTCTTGCTGCCGACAACGTCCTTCTCGTCGGAATCCGAGATCATGGCCGCAGCCGTTTCCTTGCCAAGCTCCGCTTGCCGCTCTGCTCGAGCTTCTGTGTGCGGCTGCCCGGGTATCGTCTGGATCGGTTGGTGGTGGTGGCTTTTGGACCGAGGGCGGTCTGCGCTGCCGGCTGTTGTGGGCAGAGGGCCGGCCATCGAAGGAGAGCCCATGTAGGGGTCGCGGAGCGGGATCTCTCCTTGGTGGTCGTTGTATCTCTCCGTCTTCTCCGCCTGCGTGAGCCCATTGCGCCGTGACGAGGCCGGAGCCGGCAGTGTCATAGCGACGTGCTTGGTCCCCAGCCCGTGGGTGTACTTGGCACCTGGGGCTGTCGGCAGTGTTCCTCGATCGCTTAGAGGATTTGCTTGTCTTCGTTATTGAGCTTGCTTGGCAGCTGGTTGCGAAACTGAGCAGTCTCCCACGATTGTCGGTCTTTCCGCTTGCCACCTTGGTGGCCTCTGGCTTTGCCGCTGCCCTCGTAGGAATAGCAATCCCACGGTGAGGGCCACCCGCCATAATGTTCGGCACCTTGCTTTTTCCACTGGTCGTGTCCTATCGTGAGTGGACGGGTGCTGGGTCAGGAATTTGATATCCTTGGCCCGTGGTTGGAGCCCTCCGGCTCTGGCAAGGTGAATGAATCGCCTTGCTCTGGATCTTGCCGCCCCTGGTCGGCTTTGAACCGACCGGCTGTGGCTTTTCGTGCGGTAGCCGCGCCTGCGGCTTCTGGGCAATGCGGACCCTGCTGCTAGGCCGCTCGATCCCAAGCCCTTTTATGCATGTGCCCATATAGAGATAGATCGATAAGTGAGGCGTCGGAGTTGCTATGTATCGCGGTGCTGAAACATCCGAAAAGAAGCTTGGCCGAAGTACTTTGCACAACTCGAATGCAAATATTCTGGCAAATCCAACACAGCAGAATCATGCTGCTACTTCGCATGTTGCCTGATCCGAAACTTTGGGGCTTTCAGCAAAGATTTCGTCGGACTAGAAGCGGTCCCTCGTCAGTCCGCCTAATGCAATTGCCACGACATGAGTTTGCATGTAAGCGTCTCAATGCCGCAACAAGTTGCGGGTCGACGTGCTCTTGGCTTAAATACGGAGATGACCAAGGTTCCCTGTTGGCGGGAGTGTCGCTTGGTTGGATGTCCGAGTGGGTGTCATGGGCGTGTTGAAAAGCGGATTCAATTTTGGCCTGCCTGCATTGTTCAGATAGATGCCATGAAGCTCACACAGCGCGTCCGACCTGATGGTCGAAGTGAAAAACACTTGAAACCTCTGCTCATCGAAGTGGTAAAAGTTTGTGCATCATCAACCTTTCGGCTGTTTCTCCCACCGTCTTCTGCGCAGAGTGGAATGGGCACCGGCTCATGTACTCTTGCCCGTTCATCTGATCAACGGCTGATCCAAAGCTCTCATGATGGTCCTGGTGTTGACCGGAGTTGTCGCGTCCAACAGAATATATCACAGAAGTCAGACAATCGCTTGACCAGGGCAACGAATATGCTTGTCTGTGCGATATGAGGTCATGCATCGTGGCTCATGCTGGCAGGTTTTACCGTTTGCACTTGCTGATCTTGGCATCTCGGGCGCCGCCCGCAAGGCATGGTCCTTTTGCCGGTCTTCGGGAGCTTGAACCCACCAAGCTCCAATATTTGCTGAACAAAAATCATCCTGAGCTGAGCACCCGGTTGAAGAACTCCACAGATGCCTCGACTTCAAGAGCCCCAGCTTGCGGAGCCAAGCGAGGTCCAATACAGTGTCTGCGCTTTGCCTGACTACCTGACCCAACGCCAACGCAGCAAAGGCGCATTGATGACCACCTTTACGAGGCACGCCTTCAGCCGATGCTTGAACGGCGACATGTTTTGCGAACGCTGCACGTTGAGAGGCGGCTGTGAGATGCTTGGCTGTCTTCCAAGACTCGGCTAATGATGAAAAACAAACGTTCCCAGACCGGACCTTGTTTGTGGCTGAGTGCTTTCATGCAGACCGCTTCCAATTCCCTGATCACGAGGACGCATACCTTTGGAAGAGTACTGCTGCGACCTCCGGAAGCATCCGCTTTGCATGAATCACATGAACAACTGGCCTGAAACATGTAGTCCACAAGCCGCACGCAGTCTCCGAGCATCTGGTTGTCCTTTCATTCTCGAAGCCGAGAAGTAATGAATCTAAAGTCACTTACTTGACCGTGCATCGCCACATGCAGATACAAAGGCATGAAGCTCCTCAGGGCACAGAAAGTTTGGGGTGGAACGACACGAACTACAGTAGTTATACGCTCAGGCAGAAGATAGTGCCCCACGACGGTGCAGCACAGCTACATAGCCCGAGACCGTCTAACGAAACCGCCTGAATGCTATGATGGCATGGCCTACAGACTATCCAGGAGCCTTGCACAATCCACAAGCGGGCCACGGGGCAGGGGCGGCCAAGCACCATGCTCTTATTCCTTGCAGCCACGCGGCATAGACGGCAAGGCGGTGCCGCCGTGCACTGTCCGAGGCCTCCTTCTTCTCCTGGTCAGAGTCAAGCACTGCCGCTGCCGTTGCTGTCTAAACGATCCTTAGGCAGAAACTTTAGGACGGAATCTCAAATGTACTTTGAGCAACAGAGACTCAGGCACTGCCATTGCCGTGCATGCACACATGGTTGTTGTTATTGTGGTACTGGTATCGGGAGCGGTATCGGTAGTGGTGGTGATCGTGGCAGTGTTAGTGGTAATGTACACTCATAAGTCTACCACCACTGCGACGACTACCACCACCACAACCACCTCCTGCCACTACTGCTGCTACTGCTGCTACTGCTGCTACTGCTACTACCACTGAACTACTGGTACTACTGCTACAACTACTTCTGCTGCGAGATCTTCTTCCGCCGCTGCCACTGCTGCCTCTGCCGCTGCTGCTGCTGTAGTAGTGCACTGCCAGACGGTGCGCACAGCAAACGAGAGCCTGCACCATGGACTTCATCCGCGGCCTGACAGCTAGGAAAGCAGACGTTCCACAAAGACGACCTCCAGCAGGCCACACAGCATAGGAGCGCATAAAGAATCGAACACAAGATGCAATCAGCACCAGGTTCCAGAGTAGCAACGATTGAGCAAAAGACTCCTGATCTTTCCCTAGCCCTGCACACTGGGAGAGAGAGGTTGCGACAGGAGAACTCAGACTGACGCAGGCTTGAGTTCAAATCCTTCGTGCATAGTAGGGTTCGAATTTCAAGCTTCGCCCTCATACAGTGTACCAAAACCCCAGGTTGGACAAGATAGCGGCTAAGCCCCGTCCACATCAGTGGGTTGAAGAAAGCAGGAGCCAAATTAAGTGTTGAGCCATGGCAATGTCTTCTTGCCCGCTGGTTATTTCCAAGCACGCACGTCCTTTGGCCCTGGTTCCGCTAGATGGCAGCGAGTAAGGACTGTGGGAATCACACTCATTCATAAGCATCACCAATTACAAGGTTCTCAACTGGCCACTGTCGCAGATTCTGGGTTTCTGCGTCTATGCAGCTCAGCGCCATTGGCAAGCAGAGTAGTTGGCAGGAAAGGGAACACTTGAGAACGACCCAGTGCCAGCATCGCAAAGGTTGCAGCTTGACCTTTGGCTCCATCATATGGCATCTTATAGACACGACAGCATGATACTAGTTACTAGTACCAGTACAACCTAAAGGTTCCTTATAAAGAGCAGCCTTTGAAGGTGCTAGACGAAGCAGCGAAAAGGGGCGGGCAGGAGGCAGCCAGGCAGCCTCAGGGTCCCCTGCGGCGGCTCGTGGCTCTGCGGCTCCGTCGCCTGGCCTCGCAAGGTCGAAGGGTGCTAAAAAACGCTTAAACGACTCCCAAGGAATTTACGCTCCGCTGTGGGGGAAGGGACCTTGGATACGATAGCACCGGAAATTGCACATTGCTTAACGACGGACTTTATTCACATCTTCCTGCAGATGCGGGCTGGTAGAAGAAGATTCGTGGCTTACATTAACAGTTTGCAGCTTTTCTTTTCAGAGACGTCGCACGTCGGCGGTGCCCACACGATTCCACACGACATGCGACGTGAAAGCCGGTAAGATTCTGTATGGGTTGGAAGGCAAACTCGATAGCCAGCAACACAAAGTCAAGCTGCTGCACATTGCCACCCACTAGGCGAGAGCATAAGCTAAGCCGACTCGTGGTAGGGGCGTTCTATTGCCAAAGCAGAAGTGTCCCAGCAAGTACGAAGCGTTCAGCCAACCCAGAATACCGCCCGCCAGACTTCTCTCCGCGTTGAGGGTTCTGTACTCCCCCGCCGACGATGATCTGTTTGAGCCATCGGATTGCTGTTCTTGCAAGGAGGCAACCCCCCCGCGAGCGCAATCTCTCTCTTTCTCTGTCTCTCTTTCTCACTGGTTCTTGCAGGCCACGTGCAGGGGCCAAAGCCGCTGCTGTGAACTGGTACAAACAACTTATCTCATGCAGCCCGGTTGTTGAGTCTGCTCCTGGAAACGTCCTTGACACAAAAAACCTTGCAAAGTAGAGCACATGCTGCCTCCAAACCCTGCTAAGCATTTGTCTCCTGGGCACACCTACCAAGAGATGATGTTGAACTTGGTACGCAAGCTGTAAACCACAGCACAATGTCGCTCAAAGTGTAGCTAGTAAAAACGGCTATCACTAGCATAGCGTCCCACCATCTTCATAGTCAGCTTTGGATTTATTGGCTTTGGCTGGCGGCTTGTCCCTTCCCCACCTATACGCAGCGGTCTATGAGCGGCTAGGTTGTCCAATGGGTGGCAAAGCATCAGCTTGAGGAGCAGGTATTCCGATACCCGAAGGACAGTGGAGAAACAGTAGATCAGCTTCGATGCCGGGACTGTGCTGCAAGCGTTTTGCGCTGCTCCAGAACTTGGACAACTCTCCCCCCGGGTGGGGGCCCAAGAAGCACGCAGGGACTCTGATGCACCTTGCATCCTGGACTACCCATGCCACTCAACCAGAGACTTCGGATGTCATCTCAAAAAGTCTGCACACTGCATTGCGCATCGTCGGTGGCCTTCAAGACATCAAAACACCTCAAGCTGGCAAATGGTAGCCCGGTAGCCTGGCATCATCCTGGCATTTGCAGCATCCGATCCGATCGTGGGGTCGCTGCTGTCAGGTCCAAAGGGATTTGTCCAGCAATCGTCGGCCACAAAGTGACACGTGCAGGCCCGGGTTCTGCCCCCGAGTAGTTTGTCCTTGAACCTTTCCCACCCACGGCCACGGTGAGGCTCAGGCCCCGACCTACAACCTGTACCAACTTGTCCATGGCAGCCACCGTCTGATCGTGGAGCATCTCGAGTTCCTGCCCAGGGAACCCTCGAAGGACCGAATACAAAAAAATCCCACAGATCCGACAGCTCGAGCTCAGAGCCAGGGTGCGGGGGGGGGGGGGGCCCAGGCGCCAGGCGCTGGGGCCTTCTGCGCGCAGCTCGCTGACCGAACCGTAGCCTGGAGACTTCCCCAGCGGCTGTGGGTTGGGCTGGGGGGCTACTCGGCTCCTCAAGTTTGTTGGAGCAACAAGCAAGGCAATGCTTCGCACCTGCTCGCGATCAAAATCCGCCAAGTTGTACACGTTGCTGCCTAAGCGAAAGGTCTTGGAATTCGGGCGCTTTTCTGCATCATTACTTCCCGTGCCCAAGTAAAAGGACGACAGACAGAGACCCCACAGAGCATAAATGAACGTGCGTGTGAGTGTGTGCAAACGTGTGTATGCCTGTAAAAACGAACGTACGTATGTGTGATTGTACCACCATGCACTCATACGGGTATACATTGACATACAGGCACCTGGACTTCACCTCTGCCCAACAGCAGAAATGTGAATGGCAGGCATACATTGTGCATCAACCATCGATACAGACGGAGAGTGGCGAGAGAGACAGGGCAGATTGATAGAGGGTCTGACAGGCCAAGTGCAAGAGAGAAACCGACGATGTTCAGAATGCAATGCACTGTAACATGAGAGACGGCACAAACATGTCGCACTCGTCGTTGACCCGTACTGCTGCTACCATTCCGAAACGGCAACGATCTCTATTTCCGTCTGGGTCACCGGCCTATGTTGACGACCTTCACGGACTCCACCTGCGAAGCAAACAGAGGCCCCCACTCGGCGTCTGACCTTCCCGCAGCCGCCCCCACGAACGTACAGGTCAATGAAGGCGGTCTCTCTAGGAAGGGGAAAGCAAGATTGGCCTCGCGCATCAGCGAGCCTTTGTCTGACGAGGCGGGGACAGCGACGCAAGAGCTTTGACATGTTGCTGATGTCACCTATGCTTGTGACTCCCAGAGTGTTAGCAAACGGGCATTTCATTGAATAATTATTTTTACACTAATGTTACGGTTTTGATATGATTTCAATCATCCTTCCGGTTACGATTATGATACGATTTTGACATGGTTTACGATTTGGATACGGTTTGGATACGGTTTGGATACGATTTTGATACGATTTTGATACGATTTCGTTACGATTTTGATACGATTTTGATACGATTTCAATACGATTTCGATACGTCTCCAGCCTCCCCCAGGACTGGTTTTGATGTGTTTGCTAGGTTTTCGATATGGTGTTAAGACTTGCAGCCGAGCTGCCTTCCGAGCCGTGAAATCGTAACCAGAACCGTATCAAAATCGTAAACGGGAAAACCCCCTAAATCATAAGAAAACCATAAGATAATCATAAAAATAATTCCCGGCGCATACCCTTAGTTTGCTATGTGTGGTAGTCACAAACCTATGCCGTATGCTAGTTCTGACACATCCGCGGCTGTGGCGGGCACAGGTCAAATTGCACGCAGCTCGCAATCACAAGATGTCCCGTCCCGAATGTGCAAACAACTTTGCAGTTTAACAAAACCACCTTCAGGCATGAAGATGTACAGCCGGGATGCAAATCTTGATGAGGGGCCCCACAAAGAGCGGCTTCGCCAAAAACAGCCGCCTGGCCAGAAAGCAGTTAAAGCTCTAGGACAACACACTGACTATGGAATTCGACGTCCCTTCCGACAACATCGTCAATCACTGGAAGAGCACTGAGCACACACCTCAGTGAGGTGGTCCATGTGCTGATGAGTAACCTCTCCGTACTTGCAACTCTCGCTTGTCGGGCGGCCTGACCAAATTCTTCCTTGCATGGCAGTACCTCCGAGCCCAGAAGGCTTGCAACTGGGGCTCAAGACTGGAACATCTATGGCATCGGAGCGAAGCAAACCACAAAGCTCCAAGAATCCACATCCCTCTCGTGGGTCACAACGTGAACCGCGTGTGCTGCTGCCACCGGGAGAACACCTGCACAGCACAGTCCGTGAGGCAGGACTATGTGCTTCAGCGACCAACGTTGCAAAAGTGTTACAATCAAGGCCAAAGTCCGTCTCCCCGCAAAGAGCCTCACGACCCGGCAGCATTCCCCAACCTTTGCCGCCCGCTATCCTTTGAGGTACACTTCGTAACACGCCTTGCCGTGTATGTAGTACTTGAAGAAGTTCATGGAGGTAAGGACGCTGTACATGAGGCACTGGTGCATCCTCAGCATTGCAACGTTGCTTTACCCCCAAGGGGTTTCGTGCATTGACCAGCAAGCACGGCCCGATCCGCTCTGTTTTGGACGCGCGGTGAAACTGACGTCGGACAGAACTCGCAGAGCATTGTCGTAGAGTTATGAGGAATCAAGCAAAGGCTGAACTGAACTTTTTCTGTGTGCTCTTTTCCAGGAAGCGTGGCAGCTTTGGATTCCTCTCCACTAATCGTAGTTTCCTCCGGGGAAGTGTTCGGCTTCTGTGGCAACTGGCGGCTTTGGGAAGAATTCCCATGTGGACCTTGTCACCTCAGTCTTTAATGGGTTGGCTCAGCGGAGGCAAGGTTCTCACGGGAGACTTCTTCTTGAAGAGATCAAAAAACACGTCGACGAAGGGCGACCAGTATAGTGTACGCCCTCGTGTCGACAGGCTTGCCATAGCAAAGCAAGAGCCGGGGAGCCTCTTAGGGCTCGTGGGCGCCAGCGGGTGGGTGTTGGTGTGGATGCTGGCGACCATCCGTGACCCCCCATGCATCTCCACTTCACAGATGGCCAAGACCTTGAAGCTTGCATGCGCTGCATGATATTTGCGAGGCCTCTCGCCGCGGTCCCTCGGAGGTATTCGCGATGGTGGGGCGACTAAGCGACTGATAGACCAAAGCGGAACTTGTGGACGACTAAGCGACACAGTTAATCCTGCTTTCAAAATCTCAATCTAAACCCGTCCATGTTCTCGAAACAACAGCCTCCACGACGTACCGAGGGGCGCCTTACCTGACCGCTTCCTTGCGGTCAATCGCCTTGGCCTACTTCTCTGGTACTCTTGCGGCATCACAATCCCTTGCAGAGGCTGCACAAATCCCTTGCTTTGCCGAAATGGGGCGGAAGAGCACCAGAGAGCGTTTGCAGCACGCCAGGATATCTACAAGGCAACTGCACTGTCACCTAGCGTCAGGGTCCATCGAGGTGTTGTCCGAAGTTTCACTCAAAGTGCGAAAACCGTACAGTGTCTCGCAGGACTTAATCGGACCCCTCTGCAGTCTCAAATGCACAAGGTCAGGCACCGCAGGCGGACCATGACGGGAAAGAAAGTCCAAGTCAACGAGCTTCATGAAGCATGCCTGCTGATGCCTGAACGAGTAAACGCGAAACTGCGGGAACGGAGCATTCGAGTTTCCTCCGTTCCTGACGCTGCAGTTGCAAGGAATCAATTCCAGTCTCCACACTCGACACAAGTTCGTCTGGCGATTCAAGCAATGCATAATCCGACGAGTTGTAAGCAGCTTACGTGTAGATGCAATCAATCGTCTTCAACACAACAGAGCCGCGTGCCATGTGCCCGGGCACCGAAAATGTGCCCTTTAAGAAGCCTCTCTCACTTGGCGTATCGTGCAGCGGTCACCTCAACAGGCTACTGCTGCTACAGCACAAGCACACAAGATCAGCTCAGCGACGGCACATGACGGCAGCAGCAGAGCTGCATCGGCGCCTTGATGACGATGCCAATGGTCTGCTGCGGAATCTCGTGATCCCACCGACATGCCTGAGGCTTTCAGCTCAGGAACTCTGCTCCTTTCTGTCCGCTCGGGAAGAGCTCTTCGCTCAGGGCCCGCTTCTTCAGGCAGGTGGTTGACAAACCGTGCTTCCGCTTGCAACCGAAATCGAGGCTGTACTTCATATTCCGAAGTTTAGTTGTCGGCTACCTAGAGCAGATACACTACCTGACCCTCTCTGGCACAGGTAACTCAGGTAACACCGAAAGGACCTTTCGCCTGTAGCTCCTTCTCTGATGTGGCCATCCTGGCTGGGAAGGCCAACTCGGTTGCCCGTCCACTCGTGTGAGTTCCGAGCTCAGTGCCTTTCCACGCGGGCAGGTGCCGTGCCTGGCCAGCCCAACAGCACATTACCCGAACCTCGAGGGTCTAGTCGCGAACAAAACTGCCGGGTTCCAATTCTCTAGAGCAATCGTGCTCAACAGCTGTTGCACAATGTCTGAAACCCATTCCGTACAAGAAAAGCGGTTCCCCAAGAGAAGCGAAGCCCCGAGAACTGTAGCATTTGCACACAACAATGGTCTCGCCTTGCAAAGCTTGAGCAACGTCTGGAATCGGCTGCCTCACCCTGCACGTGGCCAAGGCGCTTCACTCTATATAAAGCAGAAACTGTGTTGAGCTGCTGTCACGGAGTTCTGGTCTCTTTTCGTTCCCAATGACGACCAGGAGGAGTCGAGCGAGGGAAGCAGTCTAAAGCTTCGGACCTCGCGCCGGCTTTGGGCTCCCAAAGCAAAGCTGCAAGAGCCAACAACCCTCGGTCACAGAGAGCCCACTGCGTGAACAGCGAGCGACAACCGCTACAAAAATCGCAAGGAAGTGCCGCTCATCCATCAGATTTACCACGGAGTGACAAGAAACAGGTACTACCAGAGTCGAGATGAGATCACGTCCAGCACAAGGAATTTCAATGGAATGCTGTGTGGAATTGTCAATCCCGTCGCCGAAACAAGAGCTGAAAAGCCTGTGAGGAGAATCGTGTACCCGATATGGAGGATGGGGTTCCACGACAACAAGGGCTTCGCTGTATGTCTTCGGCTTACTCGCACTTCATGCTGAGCAGTTCGGTCCTATAGACGCTTCTTAGTACCCGCAGGACTCTGCACCGAAAAGAAGCCGTAACTCAGTCGCTCAGGAATTTACGCTCCGCTCCCAACATCTAGTCCTTGCCCGCCATCTGGCACAGGCATGCTCACGGCCTCACTGCCGTCACTCATAAACGTCTCTACAGGGAGGAGAATGCCGAAAAGTCACGACAGGACAGATCACACAAGTTGCTTGGGTAGCCGTGCGAGCAAAGAGGAAGGCGGGAACGCAGACTTTCCACTTCCCAGCCTCGCTGGAGCGCCACAAGACCAGCCGCCAGCTGGGGCTTGGGCTCAGAGGAAGCGTCGGCTGCCTCGGCTGGGGCTGCTGGAGGCTGGTCTCAGCAGCGTTCTGCTTTCTGCTTGAGATCTCACTACGAATCGCTCCGAGCTCTGCTTACGCAAAGGTGAATCGGATTCAAGCATCGGATTCTCAGACAAGACAGCATCAGCTCCCATCGCCAGCCATGTCTGAACTACGAAGCTCACTTGCTGTTCGATGGCACTGCCCAGCAAAACCACACACACTTAGACATCCATCGCGCAGCCACTAATCAATCTGGTTATCAAGCACAGCTTGATGTATCTCGAAAGCATGAAGCTTCCAGGGGGTCCGGTACCTATCTGGCCTCAAGGCTCATCTTCGCTTGATCTCTGATTTATTCACTGTACAAGGCAAACTCCTCCAAACCTGCACATTCGATTTCCATTGGGGTTCTAGGCTTAGCCCCAAGCCATATCACTTGCAGAGACACTTGCAGACACACTTGCAGGTACACCAAGCTGATCAGGCTTGGCTTCCCTCTCTGATGCATAGCTTCGTTGGGTACGGTAGCATCAGAGAGCCGTACCCCGCTGCTATTTTCAGCAATTCAGCACTACTGTCCAACGTGTTTCAAAAACGGTTCCTCTTGGTAACAGAGGTCCACACACACAGTAAGCCACTAAGGCGAAGCGACCTAGGGTCTGGACTCCAAACGAGGACGGTTTTCGTCCGAATATGGCTCAGCCCAGTGAAAGGTCAATGGTACTGTATTGTTGACAGTACTGAGTTTGACATAGTATGGTAAATGGGCCCCGCTTTGCGTAAGTTTAAACGTACGCTTGGGGATGCGATTCCACTCCAAACTGATCGCCTCTTTAAGGTCGTCGATAATGCCTTCGGCCGGAATGTCGAAACATGCAACCGTGGCACCATGATGGCGGCCACCAGAAGGCAGATTTTCAATCCAGAATCCTCGGGTCATCCGCAGCGGAGGCAGATGTTTCGGTGTCCGAGGGAGAATAAGTGGATCATCATCTTTACCGCCATCAGGTGGAAGCGACGCTTGTGCTGCATCTCGTTTCATGGCAGATAAAGCTACACGTACACTGGGTCGCTGTTGCGTGGGAGCAGGAAAACTGTACAGGCGAGTGCTCTCACTGTATGCAGGACAGAAAAATGTGAGTCAGGTCACAAGGTCATGCCAAGAATCTCTGGTAGTTTTCCCAGCGAGTGACATGTAATCCTGTACACGTCCGGTGTCCAAATCAAAATAAGAATCAAACGTTTCGGTTGGGACACTGTGCAACATACCAAAAATGGCAAGCACAACGGAGGTTAGCTCTGACCAGCATTTTTGCACAAGCCTTTGACTGTGCTGCAGGATTTCGGTGAAACTGCATCGGATCCCCAAGCGTGATATCACTCGCTTCAGAGGGAACAGGCGAACGCTCACGTTTGTCCTTCTTAGACTTCATGGACTTCTGAGACTTATTTGGTGACCGGTCCTTTTTCAGCCTTTTGGACTTCTTGGTCTTCTTGCACTTGTTGGAGGACTTCTTAACCCAAGACGCCACCTCTGTGGGTGCCGAGTCTTTGGGAGGATCGAAAGCCGAAGACCAGGAGCTAGCATCATCAGGAAGTTCATCATATGGTACCCCGTTGTCTTGACGGGAAGCCATGCCGGTGTGTCGAGAAATCAAGACGGAAACGGCTGGCGGCACCACATGAGTAAAAAAGGAAAAAACGCCTTCGGCTCCACGAGAGACAGAGAGAGAGAGGGGAGAGAGAAAGGGCGAAAGAGACATAAAACTGAGCGTAACGCTCCTACGCGCTGTTTTGCAATGCGCAAAGACGGTTCCACTTTAGTGGTGCAGGCGCTCTAATCCAGTAATGATGAAAGTCCCAAAAATGTCAATTGGGAAAACGAATTAAGCAGACAAGTCGTCTGCTGTTCCAGCATGACAAAAGCTCTCACGGTGATGCATCTCGCTTGCGTTTTCGGGGCGACAAAGAATTAGCGCTCTCAGTAGGGAGGTTCAAGTCCACCGAAGAAGTGGTCTGAGAAGCTTGGTGCCACTGATTGTCAGCAGCCAAACGATCCGAAATCCAG